TGGACCACAGCCTGAGCTGGGTGTGAGGTTCTCACTCCTCAGAGTCCCCGCTATCCACTGCGGCCCCAGGCTCTGGGTGGGAGAGGAGAGCGTGGGGAGGAATGCGTTTTGGCCTCCTACCAGCTCCTACCAGGGCTTTGAATGAGGATTTTCCTTCCCTGCCATGTTCTGGCCATGGGGAAGCTGGTGATGGTTGGCTGGGAGCCTGCCATGCCTGCCGGGGTCGGCCCCTCTGGCCATAACCACGGGGAATTAGAGATGGGTGGAAAACTGTCTAAAAACCATGCAAGTATTTGTGTTTCAAGCACTTTTCCAAGTATTGGGGAATGCTGACAAAGCAGCAGCGTGGGCAATGCAGGCATGCTGAGAGGGTCCACTTGGCTTTTTTTTGGGGGCAGGATTTCAATGGTCAAACAGTTTTGTTTAAAATAAAAAAGCTAACCGAGCAAATGGGGAGATTTGCCAGCGCTGCCACTAGCCCCTCTGCCAGCTCCTCAGGGCAAAACAGCCACCCTGATGTTGAGGGGGCCATGAGCCTTCAAACCACCCCTGCCCTGGGCCGGTGGGTACATGGCTCTCGTCTCGGTGCTCCTTCTCTGCTGAAGGGGTTTTTGGCAGGAAAGGGGCTCCCCATGCCCGGTGCTGCTCTGCCCTGGAGCATCCTGGAGGGCTGGGGCTGAGGTCGAGCCGGCAGGGCTTGCCCAGAGCCTTGCGTGGCCCCCTGTCCCGCCCATGCCAGGGGATGCTCACCTGCCGTTGGCTCCTGCCCATCCTGCCAGCTTTCGGCTGTGGAAGCAGCCTGTGTGGAGAAGGGTGACGGGGGGAGAAGGGTGGCTATGGACCCTGGTGGCCCCAGGACCGCCCATCCCAAGCGTGGACAGGGGCTGGAATAAGGGGAGAAGTTGAGGGGACCCTGGGCTACCCCATCCCGCTGCATTTCCCCTCTCCACACCCGTCTCCGCCAGTTCCTGGGGCAGGTCAGGGCAAGCAAGTCACAGGCACATCCCATCCTGCCGGTGCAGGGAGGGCTCAGGGCCGTGGGCTGCAGGGGTGAGAGCCCTCTGTGTCCCCGGGGGGCAGCTCTGGGGTGTGACACCCAGCCCCACAGCACGCCGTCCACAGCAGGACGGTGCGACGGACGTGTCCTGGCCCCACGCGGGGTGGGACGGGGTGGGCTTGGGCATGGTGATGGGACTGGGGGCTCGGTGCAAGTGGAGGTGGGTCAGTGCTGCCGGGTGTCACTGGTGCATCCAGCACCAAGAGGGGATGGAGAGGGGAGCGTGTGCAGCGATGGAGCCCCCCGTGCACGCGTGTGCATGTATGGTGGGACCAACTCATGCAGAGCATCGATACGTGGGGCTGCCCCCCTGCTCTGGGCTTGCGGTCCAGCCATGTCCTGCATCCCCCTCCCAGGCTGACGGGATGCTCCATGCCCCGCAGCCGTACCTGGCATCTCGGCGTGTGCTGTGCTCGGGAGATGCAGCGGACACAGGGCTCAATCAGGCTCAGGTAGACAGTGGCGAGGAGGGTCATCATGATGCTGCAGCAGTGAGTCAGGGACAAACAGACACAGGTGTGCCGGGCAAGGGGACCACCGCGTGCCCCTGTGCAGTGAGCACCCATGGGTGGTGCTGGCCCCGGGGCTATGTGCAGACAGGGGAATAGGCTCCTGCATGTGATAGCCTGGGCGGTGCAGCATGTGTGCGTGCGTGCCAGGGCAGGGCTCTGCCTCCCCGGGCTGAGGATACGTGCAGATCATCACTGTGGTGATGGACCACAGGGGGAGGAGTACCAGGTAGATGAGGCAGGACAGCAGGACCGCCATGACATAGCCCACGGTGACCGTCATGAAGAAGCAGACGCAGCAGATGTCATAGGAGCTGATGTGTTTCTTCAGCCATAGGCAATGCTGGTGAAACTGGTGCAGCACAGGGGTGCTGGGCAGGGGGGGCCCCCCATAGGTCCCGTGCATCCCATGGGGCCAGGAGCACCCAGGGCTGTGGCTGCCTACTGCACAGTGCTGCATGCAGGGGCTGCATGTGCATGGGGGGGTGTGCTTGTGGAAAGCAGGGCTGAGCGTGTCTGTCTGTGCAAGGGGCGTGCAAAGGGTGTCTGAGTGCACCGGGCTGGGTGTGCAGCATGCAGGATGTATGGACAGTGGTATAGGGTGCAACACAGAGAGCTGTGTGTGCTGCGCACAACGTATAGGGCTAGGTGTAGGGGCTGCAGGGAGTAGGGCTTGGTGTGCAAGGTGTAATGTATAGGGATGGGTGTATATGGGGTGCAGCATGTAGAGCTGAGCATGCAAGCTACAGATAGGGTCTACGAGGTGCAGTGTGCCAGGTTAGGTGTGGGGGCACAGTATATAGGGCAGGATGGGGGGGTATACAGTGTGTAGGGACAGGGGTACAGGACTTGGTTAATGGGGCTGAGGGGTGGGGTGGGTAGGGCCGGGTGTGCACGGCACCTCGGACACGCGCAGAGCCCCCAGGCTCCCGGGGTACCCCGTGTCCCTCACCTCCATGGAGCGGTTGCAGCGGGGGCAGCGGAGGATGTGTGGCCAGCTGTGACGGTGGCACCCACATGGGCAGCGCTGTCTTGCTGTGCTGCAGAGTCCCTGCTTCAGCCTGTCCTCCAAGGCCACTGCTGCAGGAGACATGTGGGGAGACTGTGTCCCCCCAGCCCGAGGGCCAGCCCCTGGGGCCACCCGGCCATGGAGCAGCCCCTGCTCCCCTGTCACCCCACCTAGCTGGAGGAGCCTCAGGTTGACTACGCTGAGCAGGACCAAGCTAGTGAGAGCCAGGAGGAAGAGGACGGTGGTGGAGCTGGGGACCCGCAGCGCGACGTGCAGAACCAGCGAGCTGCACCTGCAAGCAGGGGTACGGGGAGGATGGGGCCGGGGTCAGGCCCTGGGGCTGCTGTGGGAGAGGCAGAGAGCGGGTAGAGACCCTTGGGGTGCTCAGCCCCAGGGGCTGCTGGAGCTGGGTGGTGGTGGGGAAGAGGACGCAGGTCCAGGCCGTTTGAGCTGATGCCTGGCTCTAATGTCTCGAGGACACTGGTGTGAAACAGCAGCTCTGCTGCCCCATGTCCCTGGGACGGGGCTCGGCCCGCGGCTATGGGGTGACTTACAGGAAGGAGACCAGCAAGGTCAGGTAGATCAGGGTGCTGAAACAAAGGGGGATGAGAAGCTCCGTGGTGGGTCAGGCAGCTGCAGGGCCCTGGCCTTGCAGGATGGACAGCATCCCGCTCCCACGGCAGCCACAGTGAGAAACACATCCCCCCATTCCGTTCCCATGGCAACCACAGCATCCCCCTCCTCCCTCCCATCCCATTCCCACCGCAACTGCAGCATCCTGTTCCCATGGCAGGGTGCAGGGGACCCATTTGGGGTGCCAGTGCCACTCTGGCTTCAGCAGGAGCCCACTGCCAGAGGGGCAAAGGGTGGGGGCTCAAAGGTCCCTGGGGACCCAGTACAAACCAGCACTCATTTTCCTTGGGGTGCTGGGAGGACACCAGGAGCTGTGGGCACCCCTGGGACCCATGAGGATGCTGGGATCCATCTAGGACAAGGATACACTGCTCCCCATGCCTAACGCCCCAGCTCCCCACTCATTGTGCCCCCTCCAGCCGGCCATCCCCCTCCCCAGTCCTGGGCTCTGCTTCTGTCCCAAGAGGCCGGGGCGCTGAGCCGGGGTGCTGAGCGTTGGGCCAGCCCTGCCCTCTAGCGTCGTGGGAGCTGCTCTCAGCAGGGCTCAGCCCCCGGCTGCCGGGAGCTGAGCCGTTACAAACTCCTCATATGGCCCGCAGAGCCGTGCAGGGTCTGGCAGGCTTCCCACGGCCCCGCAGCATCACCTCCCACCCAGCCACTGCTGCTGAGGGGACATGAGGATGAGTCCTGGACCCTGTATGGCACCACGGGGACACCTGGCACCACAAGCCCATCTCCAGGCTGCCCGAGGGGGTGCGTAGGCAGTGTCACCCCAGCACAGGTGCCCTGCTCCCCAAGCTTTGGGGACGCGCAGGCGTGCCGGCACGAGTGATAACTGCCTCCCCCGGCACCCCGGGTCGATAACCGGACGGCCAAGGTGCTTGGTGGGGCCGGGACGGCGTGGGGGCACGCCAATGGGCGCCCGCAGCGGCGGGAAAGGGAGGGGAGTGCTGGAGGCTGCTGGTTAAACTGGAACGAGGCGTGGCGGCCTCCCCGCGGTCCCTGCCCTGGGGACTCTGACCCCACGGGCCGGCGAGGGGAGCCGCGGCAGGCGGGGCGCAGCGGG